CATCGTATAAACATGGAACTCTCTGGGCTAGATTTGTTTGCTCCATGTGAGTGTTCGCCAAACGAACGGGTATATTCGCTTTCCCATCACTGGGAACTGCAAACTGCCAGCTCACCTTATAATCCCGAATAATTGAAATTCTGATCGGCACAATAGATAACAGTTTCCTTTGTCAACGAGGCAAATAATAAACAACTATCGAAGCACATTCTATGGTCATTGTTTGCAGTTGCCTCTGCCCAAGAGGCTTACACCTTTCAATGGGCCAGCAGCCTTTGTTGTCTGGTAATTGAATTTAATTTGCCAGGATAATTGCTTTCCAAACCCACTCAACTGCCCTTGAGTATCGGTTTTAGTGCCCAAGCACTGGCTTTTTAAATGGCTTCATATAAAGATGGTAATATTGTTTATAAACTCTACTTTGATAGTATAAATATGAATGGTTTTAGGTTATTCAGCACTAACATTACTAACCAGAAAACACAGAAAAAAGATTCACAAAAGATCAGATTGATACGTGCTGGTTAATTTTACATATTTTTAAGATCAAATTCATATCATTTTGATATGAATAAAGATTATGTTTATCTTATTTTCCATTATGTGTTCAAAAATACTAAATTTGGTATTTTAATATGATAAAATATCAAGTTGATATGATTGAATCATAAATTTGACATAAATCATATCGATTTTTTATTGATATGAAATAAGGAAAAATTGACCTTATAATATCGAATTTGTTTTCTGTGCATTAAATAAATTATATCAAAGTAAAAATTATTCAAAGTAAGGAGGTACTCTATCAGTCGATCACCTAAGATCCCCTCCTTTATCTGCATCATCATTCGCACATTACTTATACGCGTCAAAGTGTTAATGAATATTGTTTTTGCCCGTCAGCGGAAATGTTCAGTGCCGGGATATCTGCCATTAGTTTTAGAGAGTTAATGCACGCCCCATGTACTTGGTAGCAGGTTGTTATTGGTGGCACTTTGCACTTTACATATGCAATTAGAGCGAATGTGGTGCGTGGCAACAATCAATGTGTCTTCAATTTGCCAAACAACAATCGTTTTGATTGCAATTACCAACAGAGAGCGAGGGCTTCGCACAGATACAGCTGCGTCGTGATTAGTTGCTTCCCGGGGATGTGGGTGCTACGTGCTGCAACTGCAGATGGAGCAGAGACTGCAGAGAGCAAAGAGCACAGGCCATAGACCAAAGACCAAAGGGCACAGAAGGCACACAGCCACAGACCGCATCGAAACCCACCAAGAAGTGGCTTCCCCTTTTCACCGCCAGAGGGAGGACGTCCGTCAGTTTGCTACCAGAGATTGTGGGTCTGATGAGCTGCCTACTCTATAGTCCACTTTTCAGTTTCCCGAGTTCCCCGGGGTTTGCGTGCGATAATTAACATCTAGATTTTTAACTGCTTAGCATACATACAACATAACTGGGGCTTGTTAGACCCGCCCGATAAAGAGAACAGCCACTGGGGACCACTCGAAACGAATTCGCGTGTTTCTCTGCTGTGTTTTCGTTGCCCACTCACTTGTTCACTTGTTTACTTGGCCAACGGTCAATGAACTGCTTTTCCAGTTGCCAACAGCACCTGTCGCTTCCTAAAAAGGAACTATTACTCCGGGAAATACCCAGAAAAGGATCGTAATTTTCTTGGTATTTCCAGAAGGTATTCTATAGAAAACGATAATCTATTTACTATGTTTCTTTAACTTAAGAACCATAAGATTAGTATGTTTTGACATAGACGAACAACATTTTCAAGTAAAAAACATTCCTGAATCATCCACTTTATTATGGACGTTAGATCGTGATTTTTTCCCCCACTAAATGTGAGCCATAAATGGATTTGCGACATCAAAAGCCACCGCCAAACAAGTTGCGGCTGCTGTTTCTTGGTTCGGCGATAAGCTTCTGAATCTGACTCCCTGCTTTAATTGCTCACTTTTCGCTGTGTGGGGGGATTCTACTTCTACTTCTAATTCTAATTCGCTATCGCACTATAAATTCCACTCTTTATGGCACTTGGTCCAGCTGATAACTAGAGTGCAGCGGCGAAACTTTTGAGCTGGGACCAAATTAAATTTCTCACTTCATTCTCCGACTTGAAGAGGAGTCGTCTTCTGAGTTCTCTGTACTTCAACGTCTGCCTCTTGGTATAATCAGCATTATGGCCGGGCATTAGGTTGAAATTTATGCGGCGATGGCGACGTTTTTCTACTCCTCCCGACGACCACCGCAAACCATTTTAATGCGACGTCATTTTAATGCCACGAAGTGGAAAAAAAGAAGGAAAAACTAGTAGAAGAGGAGAAATAACAGAGCAGTTCAGAATGCAAACATAATTTTCCCTAATGCCAGGACAAAGGGAGACGACTTTGGCATTTGCAGTCATTAAGGAATGCATTCAATTAGCCAAAACAACTTTATAGGACAGCTGTTGTTGTTGTTGGTTGTTCGTTTCTGTCCAAGGGGCGTGGCCTTTCAGCCATTGGATGAGCCAGCAATCACAGAATGCAGCTATCGCACCACTTGCACCACCAACAACCCACAAACCACCAGTTCAGCGATAAGCCAGCGCTCTCGTGACGCACTGCTTCCGCTGAGTGACGTAGGTCGCTCAAGACCCCAACATCCGACCCCAGACCCTGTGATCCCGATCCCAGATGCCAGATCCCCGCCCGATTCGAGCCCATATATGTAAATGTACCCATAGTACTTGCGTGCTGCCGATAGCATCGACAAGCGACAATCTGACAACTGATACGGGAGAATTGCTTTTGCAGACCGGCCACTTTGACAGGCAATGACTTCTCCTTGACTTGCCCACTCGATTGGGGTCGTCGGAAATGATATCTGGATATCAAATTAAACATGTGAGCGGTCACATGGCGAAACAATTGCTAATCTGGGACAGCCGTGTGATAGGCAGGCCCTAATTAAGTCGTGGCTTATGTGAGTTATGAGTAGCGATTATCTTTAATAGGAAAATGGTTCGATTTTAGCAGGATTTAGCAGTAATCTCTTCACCATACCATGTTTATACCTGTTACTCGTAGAGTAATATGGCAGTTTTTTTGTGTTTAATAATACCTATTGAAAGCAGTGCAAGCAGTCGCTTTGTCTTGCTTAAATATGATTTTATAGATCTTTAAAATGATTTTAACTTCCCATCCAGGGATCATATAATTCATAGTGATTGGGTACGTTATTTTTAAGAGAATAAAAATGCATTCTGTAAGCCCTAAAATCTCCGGAATATCCTCAAGTTTTCATGTAACCAATCCGACAGCAATAAGTCCTTGTAAATGAGTGACTAAAGAAACGTATTCTCCCGACGCGAACAATCATCCCAGCTTTTTACATTTGCATTTGCTTTTGCATGCTTCAGCTGATGGGCGCGACTTCATTTCAAGGCATCTCATTTCATCCCTGCTCCTCCCCCGAAAAGACAAATTCACTTTTTGACTCGTAAAATGTATTGCAAATGTGTATGCTCATCCTTCTAGCTTCTAGCTGCTCCATCCAGCCCATTGCCATTCCGCTCTGCTCTAAAATATTACATTACTACAAATTGAAATTTTGCGCACGTTTCTGTCATTTAAATCTGTTGAGGCGGCCCGAAAGCAAACGAACCAAAGTATCTGCCAGATACTTTTTACTCAAGCGAAAGGAAGGGGAACCGGCTTTTACTATCAGGCAGACGGCAATAAAATAAATAACATTTAAAATGAAATATTTGATTGGGATAGGAGGCACATGCAACATGTTGGGAGATGGGACGTTGCAAGATGCCGCCGCTGAAGGTGACCTTTGCACAAACTCCTTTGCCTCGCCGTCTAATGCATAACTTTGCATAAATTGCCCCACCATCTAATCGCCAAAGTTGACTCTGCTGTAAATAAACAGAACAATGGCGCCAACAAACAGCAGCAAAAGCGAGGAAAACTCGCTGGTGGGCGGAGTTTTCCGAGATGACAGTGAACTTGTGGGCTGGAGTGGGCTTGGGGGGCGATTTCCCTGCAATTGAAGTGTGACCTCGATAACGAAGTAAAGTCCAATAGAGCACTTAAAGCCCGTCAGCGTGGAGCATGAAAATGAATAAGTTGCTGGAGCGCAAACATTTAACGCTTCATTAACTTCAGATAAAGCCCAGGACCAGGCAGAAAAGCCAGCGAGGACAAAATCGTCAGAGACAGCTCCCTCACGTCCCCTTTTTCGAACGGAAAATTTGAGCCCAACTTCAATCCCTGCAATTAAACAGACCGCCCTGCTGAAAAGCAGGTGGGGCAGCAAAAATCGATGACAAGGTGACAGCACAGAACACTTCAGCACGTGCCCGTCAGAAAAAAAGGAAGGAAAACTGCGAGTCTCTTTAGTGGAATTCGATGGTGGAAAATATGTCACCGTCCCAGATGAAGACATCACTTAAAGTCTTTTAAAGCATTTCCTGTCACAAATAGGGATTTATAAATTCTTGAAAATGTTTTTAAGATAGAGATCCTTTTTTACTAGGTTGACATTACTTTAAAAAAAAAATCTACTCCCAAAAAAAAATGTATATGAAACGAAGATCAATGTGATATTATTTGGTATCAATTTTGACTTGTAGCATCTCATTTCGATATGCTCGAAACGTAAGCCACAAGTTCTTAGTAGGCCAGTTTGAATTTAGAACATCAATTCTACCAGTATAGCATGGTAAAAACGATATAACAGATATTTACCATGTGCATAACTATTTGACCCCGTCATGTTTTTTTTTTGTGTAGTCAATTAAATGTCATATGGCCATAAATATTGAATCCATCATTTTTAGTTCAAAAACCTTCAAAAACATCCCAATTTCCTCTATGCTTTTTCCCTATTTACATAAATAACGAGACTGTAATTGGCAACTTATTGTTCACAGCGTGAAACAAATTCGGCACTCAAATATTTACGTATTCACTTGCTCAGAAAATAAGGCCACTTACCTTCTCTCGCTTTCAAGTAGACCGTATTGGCCACAATATTCTCTAATTCCATTAGTTCCAGGTTGGCGGTTTTTTAATGAATCCTTTGGCGCTCTCGAAAAATAGTCGCAGTCGCACTGGCTTGTCGCTCGTCCTTCGGTCCTTGCCCTTTGAAGTTGCTCCTGTTTTTGACCTTGCTCGTTGGCTCCTTTGAACAGGAATCCCTCTTCGCTTTTCACTTTACTACTCGGGCGACTCCTTAGACTTGCAAATCTACGGCTGGCTGGCTAATTTGTGGCCGTCGTCTGGCGTCCAGCGTATTTGCGGTATTTGGCAGCAGGGTTTCGGTTTCCGTTTCGGACACAGTCGTCATTTAGTTTCAAGATTGGAATTTGCAAGGCCGAAAATGTGCCCTTTTCTGTGCAAGTCGAACCAATTTGCGCTTGATTGAATGCTGTGGGACTGCCAATGGATTTCCTCAATCTGCAAGGAAACGTAAGCGATAAAGGCGTATAAATATCTAAGTTAATTGGATTTGACAGGGGACTGCAAAGGATAAAGGAGGTCCTTACAATACGGCTTCAATGGGGTCTATTTAAGTTGGGCCTTAGTTAACTGTTTTATTACATTAATTTAGCATTAGCATAAATTTAAATGAGTTAAAGGCCAGACTTAGAATAGCTTAACAATTTCCTGGCAATTAATTAATGACACTCTACATTTTTCCTTTTACTTTATCTCGCTTTTAGAAAGATTTAATTATATATTTTCCTTAATGCCAGGCGAAAACCACAATACCCTTTTGGCTGCTCTTAAAGCGAAAGTATTCGCATGTGCACATATATCATTTTATCCTTGCCTTTTTGTGGCTCAAGTTCGCCTCTCGAGAGAAGTTGGTACACGTTATGTGTACGTGTACTTGTTGTCCCACCTGTTTGTGACAAAAGAGCTGCGTGCGATGATAAAGTTTGCATATGTACACGGGGAAAAAATATAATACTAATAATTCCACATTAACAAAAAATGATATATAAGAAAATAAAATCCAAGGTGTCTAAAAGTATGCAATAGTTTATTTCATTGCATACTTTTAGACACCTTTAGAGGTGATTTCAAAACTCTACTGATTTTTGTTTAATTCCCTAAAAATTGGTATTAAAGTTACGTATAAAATATCCATCATATATCATATCTTCTTTTTCTTTGTGTATTTCTAGGCGTGAGTGAGTTCCATCTTGTGGTTGGGGCCCCGCAAAAACAGAGTCTTCACAGAATGGATCCGAGGTGGAAAGCCGCAGTACTCTTGGCCCACCTTGATGGCTGTTGGCCTTCTGGAGGTGTCAGTAATGTTGCGGTCGACTGTGTGTCGCATTTATTAATCATGGACCTTCCACGGGGGGAGTGCAAGAGTTGGGTTTCTACCCAGGCGATGCTGGGATGCCCCGTTTCCCGAGTGGGAGGCCTAATACGTGTGGGCATCCGCTGCGAAGTCGAGTGTCACGAGCAACTAATAGCAAAATAATTGAATGACACCAGCTTTCTTCTTCTGCTGCTGCGTGAAGGCATTTACATGTACACATGGACCCCATCCCATGAGCTGTATGATTTTGAAATTTCTTTATTAGAAAATACTGTTTTTACGACTGCGTCGCCATATATCTGCACTTATCAACTCTTGTGTGCGTCATAAAGCTGTTGGTGCTGCTCTTTTCGTACGAATTGAATTTATTGGATCCGCGCATAGGCAATTTTTAATTAAAAGTGAACTCATGTAGCTACATTTAGATCTATTTGTTATGGAACAGCCATCCAAACCGCACCATGTGCTCGGTGCTCGGTGCTCGGTTCTCGGTGCTCCGTGCTATGGGGCACATCAATCAAGGCAGGAAAGTGTGGCCATGCGAGTGTTTATTTTTTTGCACTCCGGGTCCAAATTAATTGTTTCTGAAATGCGTAGCCAAAAATAAAAGGCGGGGGGATGGAAGGCCAATCAAGCTAAATATATTTGGAGCTCCCACCAATAAACATGGCTTTTACGGGCGCCATGTATTATTCAGTCCTCGAATGGGCATGAATATGGCCATTTCATTTGCACTCCATCTCCGTGCGAGAGGTGCGGATGCGGATACGTAGCCATAAAGTTCGTTCTAGTGGCCACTAAAAGAGCGAAACAGCGGAATGGGCCCAGATTGAGGACTCCTCCGCCTGTCTATCTAGTTCGGGATGGGAAAATGGAGCCAAGAGCAGGACTGCGCACGTTAAAAGCCTCTTTATTGAACATTTGCGCCATTAGGCTCGATGCTTCTCCTGTCACAACGATGCTGGCATAAAAAACTCAACTCAACCGCCAAACGATGTTGTCAGTCATCCAGCCATATATGTATAGACCATCCAACAGGCACATCCACATCCACGTGTCTGCCTGCAGCAAGTGCCGCCATTATGAAAATGCTGCGAAATGGCGCAAATGTGCAGGGGGCTCATAACGAAATTAAGCGGCAAGCATTACACCCACTTTTTCAACACTTCCTGGAAAAGTGGCAACAAAGCTAATGTCGTTTTCTTCGAGGCTTGACAGTGATTTGGTTAAAAAATAAAAGAGAAGAAGAAGTCTTAGAGTCCTATCAATCTTTCTGTCATTGAAACATGGTGATAAGCTTACTAAAACCTAGAGATAACTACTGAACTAAGAAAGTTTTCTCGGCATTACAGGCACTTTTCTAGAATAATGACAACAAATGTAATAATTTATCTAATAATCTCATTAGATCCAATTTTATTTATGATGGAGACTTAAAAACGGAATATATGTATCCTATCCCAGTTACCCGCAACAAGAAGAGTTCTTCCAAATAATCCTTCCTGTTCGCATCCAATTAGGGTTTCCTCAGGGTATCCACGTTTCCACATGGCCTCAAGAAGCCGCCTTTGTTATGGCCTCCATTACCATTCACTTGTACTCAGACTCAAACTCAAACCGCGCACCTTTGTCACCGTGTCGAAGGCAAATTGCTTCTATCTGCCCCACTTTCTTGGGCATTCGAGCCTCTCAGCATCTGAGATTTGGGCAAAAGGGGGCCAGAATGGGTTTCGGGTGGTCCAAATGGATTTGTGGGAGTGGAAATATCGAGGACGAGCTGACAGCGGCCTTAGTTTAGCAGAGCATTAACTAAATTATGGAGGAGAGCAGCTGCCAGCGTTTGGGCGGCGTAAGCAGCCTCAAGCATTCAAGCTATTGACTTATTAATTAAGACAAAGCAGCCAGCCCCAAATGTCAGTCCGTGGCTGTTGGAGAGGGGTTGGTAGGGGAAGTGAGGGAAGGGAATGTGGAGGGATCAGAAACAAGGCATATCATCCCTTATCACATTTATGACAGTCATGGCCATAACCAGAGCCTCGGAATACGTCAATTTAAATGCCAAACGCGAAGTTACCCGTCTTTCGGGGCACTGAGAAATATTGTGAAAATTCAAAGAATTTTTAGTCTAACTAGTGATTTTACATTTACATTTAGGAACTTTGTTTACCGCATCTCATTTTATTTTTCAAGATAGTTTAATACTCGTTACACGCCTATCTTACAAAGGGCACACGTCGATTCTTCCTTGTGTTTCTGTGTTCGTAAATGGTTTAATAGAACATATTTTTTTAGTTATTCCAAATACCCACAAAATTCTCTCAGTGCCTCGGTTTCACTCGCAATCCACCACGGCCCATGCATAGTCAAGTAGGCAGGGCAAAAATAACGACACGAAGGAGCAGTTTGGGACTGACTGGCGGAGGACGAAGGACAACCTCAATCATGGGAATGCCCAAAACGGATATCCTCAGCGCGTTTTGCCCGACTTCGTGAGTTATGGAGTCGCCTGCATCCTGTTACTGTCTGCATTTTGCTGCTGATGCTAGCAAAAAGCAAAAGCAAACTGGCAGGCAAGCAGAAGAAAAAGAGAAAATAGCAGAGAGTCGAGTAAAGCGAGTCATATTGCCCACTTGGCTTTCGTTTTTATTTGCTTCTGCCTTCCGCGTATATTTTTTCCATCTATTTTTTGGGTCCCCACATATTTTTGTGCTTAAGCTTCGTTATGGCTTTCCCACTTTCCCGCTTTTCTCCTCCCTTTGAGCCGTGTTAATTTTGCTCTGAATGCGCAATTTATTTGCGTTAAACTTGGACGTGCATGTGGGCGGTCGGTTCTATCCTATGTGTGGTGGCTTCTATATCCCACCCCCCCGCATTTTGACTTTGGCTCCGGCTGGGTGCGGCTTCCTCCTCCCAGTTGGTTGGTTGGTCCTACGAGCCGGATGGCTAGATGGCTGGATGGCCGGGCAAAGGATCAACTTTTCGCCTGGCGCCCTATGGCATTGCATTGCATGTCCTTCGCCTCCGTTTGCCATATAGTCGCTTCACATACGTGCACAGGACTCGACTCCCTAAAAAATGTTTTCACTTTAATTTGCAGTCGCTGCAAAATTGTAATCAGCTCTCCCCCTCGCTGACTTTTTACGCTTTGTCCGCCTTTCTCTTCCGTTTTCCTATTTTCCGCTTTTCTTTGCATTATGAGTCGGTAATTAGAAATGCTAGGCGATTTAGTGAGCGGCACAAAAACTTTCCTGTTAGACTTTGGACAATTGCTTGAAAGGAAAGTGGAATGAAAAGCTTTTCACTTTGATCATTCTTGGGATTTAAAGGTAAACATATTAAAATGGAATTTATTTTAGGAAACGATTTGCCGACTGTTTAAAATATAAACAGAAAGTTCTGATTCTCAACAGTTCATAAACCCTTTCACAATCTAGATTCCTATCTAGAATCATCTAGTTTTAGCTTGTTTGGCACTAGCCCAGTGATAATTTTCACATTTTAGAGCCCCAGCGTTACAGCCTATTTGGTTTCCCCCCTCCAAAATGCTTTTCCCACCGCTTGACAAGCAAACACCATTCGTATTTGTGTATACTTAACTGCTCAGTCGACCGCAAAGTCGTGTCAGTAGGTGTTGTATAACATTGCAGTCGCATTAGCATTAATACTGATGATGGGGTAGGTCGGTCGCCGGCGAAGACGGCCACAAGTATGCGGTTAGTTGGGCCAATACTCGATTGACTTGTGATAATCGAAACAGCATCGGTATTACATTTTCTGTCGAGTCACAGGAAATCAGAGACTGGAAAGAGATACACCTGTGGAAAGCTAACGAGAAAAATAACCACACAGATATATAATAAGAAAATCTAAAAAAGAGCTTGAAAATTATCGATATTTTTGATATTTCGACAATATCGGATCGATAATATCGATGTTTTGAAGGGAAAACACAAATATCGAGAAATAGCAAGCTGTCGATATTTTTCTAGTACCCAAGTATTTATATTTCTGGTTAGAAATACACATTACGCAAATCATTTATAAAGGTGTTTAAAAGTATGCTTCAATATATTCTTTCCAAAAGTTCAATGTCCCATTTTTAGTGCATACTTTTAGGCAGCCT